ACTCCATTTCAAAATAAATACACACATAAATAAATAAAGAAGAAAATGACTCAACTCCCCAGCTACTCAGGAGGCTGAGGCAGGTGAATCTCTTGAACCCGGGAGGCAGAGGTTGCAGTGAGCCGAGATCGCGCCCCTGCGCTCCACCTGGGTGACAGAGCAGACCCGTTCTCACAATAAACACACACATAAAAATAAATTCCAAATATAGTTTCATTGTGAGGTTGACGATTAGAATTTCAACATAGGAATTTGCAAGAGTGACGGTCTCATTTCAGCCCATCTCATCAACAAGATGCAAATAACCACGTATTTAATGCAAATGCGTTGTGTGCACAGGACGTGGCTCACTGTCCATCACGCCTTATTCCTGGTGGGAGCTTTTATATTTTTAAGACAGAGCCTCGCTCTGTCACCCAGGCTGGAGTGCAATGGTATGGTCTTGACTCACTGCGACCTCCGCCTCCCAGGTTCAAGCGATTCTCCCGCCTCAGCCTCCTGAGGAGCAGGGATTACAGGCGTCCGCCCCCACACTCGGTTAATTTTTGTATTTTTTGTATTTTTTTTTTTTTTTAAGACAGAGTCTCGCTCTGTCGCTCAGGCTGGAGTGCCGTGGTGCGATCTCAGCTCACTGCAACCTCCACCTCCCGGGTTCAAGCGATTCTCCCGCCTCAGCCTCCCGAGTAGTTGGGATGACAGGCGGCTGCCACCACGCCTGGCTAATTTTTGTATTTTTATTTATTTATTTTTTTAAAGACAGAGTCTCACTGTGTCGCCCAGGCTCGAGTGCAGTGGCGCGATCGGCTCACTGCAACCTCCGCCTCCCGGGTTGACGCCATTCTCCTGCCTCAGCCTCTCGAGTAGCTGGGACTACAAGTGCCCTGGCTAATTTTTTTCTTGTATTTTCACTAGAGACGGGGTTTCACCATGTTGGCCAGGCTGGTCTCGATCTCTTGACCTCAGGTGATCCGTCCGCCTCGGCCTCCCAAAGTGCTGGGATGACAGGCGTGAGCCACCGCGCCCGGCCTCCTGGTGGGAAGTTTGTGAGGACCCCAGAGGCAGGGTCCCTGGGGAGGGTGAGGAGACACATGTATCCACGCGGAAGGCCCTGCCCTGCCGTTCTTGGTGTCTCCCCGGGGTCCATACCCTGCACGTGCTTCTTCCCAGCCCTGCTTGGGGGACGGTGGCTGACCTGACCACATTCTCCGTCTCTATTTCAGAGTGAAGAAGTTTCTCATGCCCAGCGTGCCAGACCCGAAATCCGAGCCAGGCCGGCCTGGCCCCCCAAAATAAATTCTAAGCCCTCCAACAGGCTCTAAGACTCTCCACTCCGGTCAAGGTGATTCCAAAGTTATCTAAAACCTAGTTGGGAGGCCGGGCGCAGTGGCTCAGCCTGTCATCCCAGCACTGTTGGAGCGCCGAGGCGGGCGGATCACCGAGGTCAGGCGAGATCGAGACCGATCCTGGCTACACACGGTGAAACCCCGTCTCTACTAAAAAATACAAAAATCAGCCCGGCGAGGTGGTGGCGGCAGCGCGTGTAGTGCTCCATTACTCGGGAGTGCTGAGGCCAGGAGAATGGGTGAACCCGGGAGGCGAGCTTGCAGTGAGGCGCGAGATCCCGCCATTGGCACTCGCAGCGCTGGGAAGCACAGCGAGACTGCCGTCTCAAAAAAAAAAAAAAAAAAACAAAAAAAACCGCTACGGTTGAG